TTATTCAACGGCATCAAGCCAAAAGAAAGATCCAGCTTGGGAGTATCGAAGAATAGGATGTTGCTCCTTTTGTGATTTGGTTTAGCATTTGCTTAATATGTTATGACTTTTGAGGATTATTGGCTGTCTAGTTTTAGTATCTATTATTTACTTCTTAATTTAAGAATTGAAAGTGTTGCTTAATATGTTATTTTTTTTTTTTTATTCTTAGTCATTTATCTATGCCTATTTAATATTTTTAATTTATGTATTAAATTGCGCTTCACATGAAAAAGGTGTGCGCTTCGCTTCACGCTTCTCGCTTCGGTAAAGTGAGGCATCATCGCTTTTTTCCACTTCTTGCTCTCCAAAACACTGGTTGGGACCTATATTACGATTGGAATATGGGAATGTTGTTGAGATGATGGTGCCATGAAGGACACATCATATGTGACAGATATACAAGCTATGGGTTCGTTCGGTAGGTGAAGCTCTATCAGATGTCGGTCGCAGCCCCCTAGTCTGGGTCACAACGATTTTTTTAAAAGTAAATATTTGTTATTACTACACTAAACAGCACCCAAAGAGTGCTGGTATACAAGAGTTATATACAATAAAAGGCTAAGCCTGGAGAGAATTTAGAACTATATGAATATCAACCACATATACATCATTAAGTTTACACCAAAACATTAACTGCTGTGCGCCTGTGAGCACTTCATTTAAACTATGTATAGGTTGAGCTATCCCTTCAAACATCTTCAATTTCATTCCTCCAAGAAAACCCAAAAAACACGAGCTGGAACTGTATTCTATACTTTTGCATCATTCCTCAGATTATATGATTATATGACCAGCAGCTCAGTAAATCCTTAACAGAAGCAGGCATCACACATGAGATTCCAAAAAAATTAAGACAGAGACTCCATAATTGTAAAACAGGATAGTGTAAGAAAAGATGTCTTAATGTCTCCACAGCTTTTTTTGTATGAGTAATAAAGGAATATTATTGTTGTAAAATAAACCAGCATTAAGAAAATGCTGGAGCAGGGGATTGAGTCTCCTTTTTCACATCTTAAGAATAGTCTTTTATCTTTAATCGCTTTTTGGTGTGCTCATATAGCCCCTACTTGTATAGAAGATTGGGTGTCTTTTGTAGAGAATCATGTTCTGATGTAAATTCTCTACTTTTTGGTATACTTCCTGTATACGGGAGTTCTCTCCCTTTTGATTAATACAATTTACCTTATCAAAAAAAAAAAAAATGCTGGAGCAAAAATACATCCAAAAGAGAACTTTACATTGTGTGTAAAGAACTAAGAAAGTCAACAATAGCTTCTGACTCTAAAACATATGTCGTCCTATTGTCCCACCAGAGACTAAGCAAAAATATACACTTGAGCTTGAGATTAATAACATTGTCCCCTCTTGTCTTCAAACTCTCGCATTTCTTTATCTCCATATGACCCACCACACCACCGTAGGAATGGTTTTCCAGACATATTTGGAAGGTTTTGAAAGGTCCAGTCTATGCCAGGAAAGCAAAAGTCCACTGTATTATTTGGCATACACCATTGGATCCCAGAAGATTAAAAGAGAGATGCCAAATATGTCAGCAGAAGCTACAATGGAGGAATAGATGGTTAACATCTTCCTCCTCTTCACAGAGAGCACATCTGTTACAAAGAGTAGTGCCTCTCTTTTGAAGATTATCAAGTGTGACATTTTCTATATGCCAGTATCCAGGAAAAGCATTTAACTTTGTAAGGAGCTTTATTCTCCCAAATAGTCTTCCATGTCTAAGATGTTAGAGAGGGAGTACTGCTTGTCAAGATTGTATAACAACATTTCACAGAAAAGCTTCCGTTATTGTTGGCCTTCCAGGATAGAGAATCTGGTTAGTCCAATTGTTCTGCAATTGGAAGGTGTTGGTTGGTGGCGCATCTAAACAGAACAGGGAATGTCGTCACGAGGGGAGTATGACCAAGCCATGAATCTTGCCAAAATTTTATCTTTCTGCCGTCCCCTACTCTTAAAGAGCAATGTTGCCAAAAGTAAATCCAATGGCATCGGATGTGTTTCCACACGCTTAAGCCAAGTGGAGAATACCCGGAAGGTCTTGCCTAATTCTGGAATCTAGACACTCGTGGGCAATAAGAACTGCATCAGAAATTTGCCGCCCTTTAACAAAAGCCATCTGATTGGAAGAAATAAGGTTCCCAATCACCTTCTTAAGCCTGCCAGCTAACACTTCAGAGAGTAATTTTATAGAAGCTGCCTAAAAGACTGATAGGCCTAAAGTCTCGTACCACCTCAATACCATCCTTTTTAGGAATAAAAGCAATGAGAGTGGCATTAAAGCTCTTGAGAAAGTGTTCCTGATGACGAAAATAGTTCATGGCATTTCAGAAATCATGACGAATAACACTCCTAACATTTTTGGTAGAAACACATAGTAAACCCATCTGGCCCGGGTCTTTGTCCCTATCACACTCTTCTAGTTTACTATGGATTTCATCTTCCAAGAATGGTTGCATCAAAGTTGAATTATCTTCCTGAGAAATAACCGGAGGACTCCTATAAGACCAAAGAAGTCTCAATGGATCAGATTCACTATAAAGAGCAGTGTAGAAGGCAACAATCTCATTGTTAATGGATTCTTCATCTAATATAATAGAACTATTAAGATTGAGAGTATGTGATTGCTTCTACGATGGGCATTCGTAATTTCACGAAACAATCTCATTGCTTCTACCTGTCTCAGCAGAAGCGACCTCTTCCTATTGAGGAGAAACAGAATCGGGAGGGAGAAGAAACGACGATTCGATCCAAAAGGGAATAGCGGTAATCTTATCATCAACTTCAATTTCCACATAGCTTGGGATGGGGAGTCATTTATTTCTCACTTGAATTATGATCCATTTCAGGCAAGATTTGTCTTGTATGTGGGTCAATAGCCGTTAATTCTCCGAGAAGCTTCCCGATTTGTTGAAAAATCCCTTCCGACCAAGGAAGACCTTTTAGCATTACCCAATTCTTAGAAGATTCCTCCCAAATCAGAATGATTTTTGCCTCCAGCGACCACCAATCAAGTTGGACAGCCCTCCCTTTCCATCTCCAATCAGATGCCATAATTTCTCTCTTGAAGGACATTCAAATAGGAAAGAATAGTTGGAAAACTATTTTTACCCCTATGAGTACCTTCCAATCATTTAAATGCCCATTCACAGACCTCAATTAATGCAGCTTAGAGGCAGTTGGCAATACCCCTGCTACGCATTTCTGAAGGAAATTTTGTCTAGCTAAGGTGGTTTGATAAGTTCAGCACAGTTATTCAAGAGTTTGGCATGACTCGTAGTGAAACTGATCACTCTGTGTTTTATTGGCATTCTGCTTCAAATCTCTGTATTTATCTGGTGGTTTGTGTTGACGACATTGTTGTTACCGGCAATGATCAGGATGGTATCACTAAGTTGAAGCAACATCTCTTTCAGCACTTTCAGACTACTGATCTGGGCAGATTAAAGTATTTTCTGGGTATTGAGGTCACCCAGTCTAGCTCAGGTATTGTGATCTCACAACGGAAGTATGATTTAGACATTCTTGAGGAGACAAGAATGACAGGCCGTAGAGCTATTGACACTCCTATGGATCCGAATTCTAAACTTCTGCCAGGTCAGGGGGAGTCGCTTAGCGATCCTGCAAGATATAGGCGATCGGTTGGTAAATTGAATTACCTCATAGTGACTAGACCTGATATTTCCTTTCATGTACGTGTTGTGAGTCAGTTTGTGGATTCTACATGTGATAGTCATTGGGATGCAGTTGTCCGCATTTTTCGATATATAAAATCAACTCCATGCAAAGGATTATTGTTTGAGGATCGAGGGCATGAGCAAATCGTTGGATACTCAGATGTTGATCGGGCAGAATCACCTTTTGATAGATATTCTATGTCTGGATATTGTATTTTAATAGGAGATAATTTGATGTCTTGGAAGAGCAAGAAATAGAATGTGGTTGCTCGATCTAGTGTAGAAGCAGAATATCGAGCAATGGCTATGTCAACATGTGAGCGAGTTTAGACCAAACAATTGCTCAAGGAGTTGAAATTTGGTGAGATCAGCCAGATGGAACTTGTGTGTGATATCAAGCTGTCCTTCATATTGCATCGAATCCGGTGTTCCATGAGAGAAATAAACACATTGAGATTGACTGTCACTTCATCAGAGAAAAGATACTCTCAAGAGATATTGCTACAAAGTTTGTGAAGCTGAATGATAAGCTTGCAGATATTTTCACCAAGTCCCTCATTGGTCCTCGTATTAGTTACATATGTAACAAGCTCGGTACATATGATTTGCATGCACCGGCTTGAAGGGGACTACTAGATAGTTATGTAATTAATACGTAAATGGTGCGAATCCCAATTATGTATAGTTATAAATAGGGCTGTATTACAATTAATACATGAATAATATATTTTTCTCCCGGGCCTCACAATTTCCAATTAGTGTTTATTATTGATGTCCCGACATCTTTCTCGCTCATTATTCCTTGATTTCTCAAAAGGAACAAGCTTCCAATTTGTAAATTTACATTACATTGTATATGTTTTTCTAAGTACTTCTTAGAGATTGTGATGCTGTTATAATGGATTGGACTATTCACTCACCTATATATAGAGGTTGTCTTAGAAACTATTAATTTTCAATTTAACCTTGCTCAGCCTGCCCCTCCCCCGTCCATCTTCAAGCTAAAACTTTAGAATGGCTTACAAGTTCCAAGGCAAATAAAATACTACAAATTTCTCTGTGAGTTTTTGGTTGCGATAATGCATATTGCAGTCTAACTTGGCAACCCATAAACCCCTAATGCAAGAATGACAACAAGCATAGAGAAAATTATATATCTGACAAGCAACTTTAGTACTGTACTTAGGCAGGGGAAGGGGGAACAAAGATGCAACAGATGCAATTAGTAACACTGGTCAGAAGGATAATATGAGGTGTTCAACTAACCTTTTCTCTAGAGTTCAACTTCTCAGCCAGAAAATTCAATTCCTTCTCCTTCATCTCCAATTCAGCTCTATAAGACTCTATATTCTGCAATAGTACTAAAAATAACTAAATGTATCCATTTAACACATTTGAACAGGATAACAAAAAAGAAGAAGAAGAAGAAAAAAGGATTAGAATCATTCTCACACCCACTTGTTCCTTTCTAGTCATATCCGCAACCTTCTTGCTTATAGCATCATCTCTTTTCTTTAGAGCTATATTAGATGAATCAATCCTTTTCTGCTCTTCTTCAAGCCTCTTTTCCTTCTTCTTGTGAGCCACATCCAAATTATTCACCTTTTCTTCTCTTTCGATGAGCTTCCTCCGCCCTTCATATAGTTTCTCTTCCCTCTCCTGCAGCTTCCTTTCCCACTCCCCTAAATCCTCTTTGTGCTTGGAAAATCTAGCTTCATGCACTTCTTGCCTAATGAAACAGTAGAGAGGAAGTCAATTAAAATCCATCAAGATATCTCCAAAACGGGAAAAGCAAAAGGAGAAAACAGTCAGTTGTAGTCTTTGTATTGTCTGCCATACTCTGCAGTCAAGGAGGCATGCTCCCTTCTTAGCACACTTTCCCGAATTTCAAGTTCACGCAATTTCCTCTCCAACTCAGAATTCATTCTATTTGCCTCAGCAAGCTTGGCATCTGCAGTATGCAACTTTCCTTGCTCTTCCAAAGACTTGTCATGATATCCAACAACCAAAGCTCTAGCATCAGCCAACTCGGTTTCAGAGGCAAGCTTAATCTGTCCACGCTCTGCTTGTGTTTGACGCAGAGCCTTTTCAAGCTGCAACAACAATGATCGCATGAACAAGGTAAAGTAAAATGGAGAAACAAAAACCTCATGAAAAAAGTATCAAGCACTTTGTAAATGCGTAAATGCAAATAGTTACATGTTACAAGATGAACAAAGCTGCATAATCTTAGAACAGTCCATTCGTCATAATTGTATCAGTTTCTTCTTTTTCCATTTTCTTTTCTGAACAACAAATGTGTTGATTAGAGAATAAATAAATAAAAGCTTTGTCGGGGTCCCAACCCTTTGGGTAATGCATTGACCATCTAACCAGCACAGCAATCTTTTGACTTTTGGAAGCTTATACCACAAGAAAACAGTAAAAATATCTTCAACTAAGTTTGCGTGTTCTGCGAGGAGAAAAAGTCTTCTCTAAAGAGGGAGAATTCCAAGGTACTTCGGGCGGAAAGAAGAGAGTTTCTTTTGGTATAACAAATTGTAATTAATTTTTATTGAAGAATAGCACCCAGAGAGTGCAATCACTGAGTAGTACGACAATCTGCAATATGCTTCTTAGTGCACTATCTACATGTGAAAGCAACGCAAAAAATTGGCCATCCTATTTATTTCCTGTACAATTTCAGCAAAAGGATAAGAGACCTAAACATCTGTGCTTTAAGTTACAAATATTTTCCTTTTTGCATTTAAGTATCTCTGATTTTTTTCCTGTCACTGAGTCCACCATATGGTCATTTGGTACAGTGATCCACAACTTCTAGTCATTTTTTGTAGTCCTCTTCTATTCCAAAAAGGTAGCAGGTCTCGAAGAGACTCTGGAAGCACCATTTGACTTCAAGCAAATTGAAACAGCATGTACTAATCTGGTTTGTGATTTTGCAATTTATGAATGCGTACTATGCCAACCTCTTCTTGTAGACTGTTGGGTCAAGCAAGCCTCTCTAGCTACTAGCCATGAAAACACTCTACCTTGTAAGGTGTTTTGTCTCTCCATATACAATGGCTATACATGTTCTTGTTGTCTATTTTGGAACAAAACTATATATCCAGACTTCACCGACAAAGGGTCATCCGTATGTTTATTCCATACTACCCTATCTGGTATTAACTTAGAAGCTTTCTATCATCTATAGAAAGTTGTTCATTTCCTCTATCTCCCCATTATTGCATATTTTAACATAAATGCTCCACCTTGAGCAGATTATTATGTCCTAATCATCACCGAAGAATGTATGTCGTAACCATCCGATCTCTAGTCATAAAAGTGATGATATGGCTGATGTGATTACTAAGTGTTTGCATGGTTGGGGTTTGGACAATGTTTTTACTATTACAGTTGATAATGCTAGTTCGAACGATACCACAGTGAAAGAGTTATCTAAACAATTGAGTAAATGGGGAACTAATATGATGGATGGTTCGCACCTTCATGGAGGTGTATGGCTCATATCAATATCATTGTTCAAGAAGGTATGAAGGAAGTTGGTGATTTAGTGAAACGTGTTAGGGAAGTTGTAAGGTTCATTAGGCAATCTCCTGCGAGGTGTAAAAGATTTAAAGATTGTTGTAACATTGGAAAGATAACATGTAAGACAACATTATGTTTGGATGTTCCTACAAGATGGAATTCCACATGTTTAATGTTGGTTACAGCACAACAGTTTAAGAAAGCCATTGTAAGATATAGTTGTCTTGATATCGGGTTGTTGAATTATCTTCTTACATATCCTTGTGAGGATGAAAGGCTGCAAGTTCACTTGCAAGAGGTGATTGGGAGAATGTAAGACGCATGGGAAAATTAATCTCGAAACTTTTTATACCCTTACCTTGAGGATTTCGAGTTCACTATACATCACATCGAATGTTCACTTTCAGGAAATTAGGCGAGTTAATTACTTTTTGAATCAATTGATAAAAAATGAAGATACAGAGTTGAGTGAATTGGCAAAAAGCATGAAAAAGAAATTTGACAAGTATCAGGGTGATCCAGCGAAAATGAATAAGATGATCTTTATTGAATGTGTGTTTGATCCCCATTTGAAGTTTGATTATGTGGCGATTGTACTCATGAAAATGTACGGGGAAGAAAAAGGGGGAAAACATAAGAGATGAAGTGAACGAGTACATGGTTTCTTTGTTGAAGAATATCAAAAGAGAAGTTCACTGGGATCTCAGTCTTCATCATTACATTAGACATATCAGGACTTCCCCAAAGACCTCAAGCTCTTAGATTAGAGGAGGATCTGGATTATCTTGAGCAACTTGAAAATGGTAAGGATCTAGAGTTTTTCTTTTGCTTTTTATTATGATGGTTTATATACATGTATTGATGTCATTTTTTTAATTCTCTTTAGATTTGAGCAATGATAGAAGAGATGCATCTGTAATGGACATATAGCTACAAAGAAAGAACTGTAAGTCAATGTATCCAATTTGCTCAACTTGTCATTAGTTTTTTGTTTCATCCATAACTAAGAAATATTAGTTCAGTTCATTCAAAAAGACGAGAGTAAAGGTTGCACTTGTAGCGATTATATGCAAGTTCATGTTCCGTGAAGACATATTAGCAATTACTTTGACTTACTTTTTCTTTTGTTTTGTTTCAGATTGAAAGCTTCTTAAGACATGTTCAAGACTGATGGTTCAACATGGTCTATCCTGGGGGATTAATAGAGTCAACCTTTTCTATAACAGCCTCATTTGTTCCAATATTTTTCGGCTTTTATAGTGAATGGTTGTTATACATCTATAACAGCATTTGACGTTTAAATAATTTTTGGTTGTTATAGATAAAATTATCCAAATTTTTTTTTTTGATGTTACCAGTGTTATCAAAGGCGGAAAACGCAAAAAAGCTCTAAGGTCTGTTGGGGCTTTAAGCGCAAAGCGCAAATAAAGCGTGGGCTTTAAGGAAGAAAGGCGCAAATAGAGTAAAACTACAAATATGTATGTGTAGTCCAAGACTAATATCTATAAGCATGAATACTGAATATATGGACAAAAAAATTGAAGAGAATTTACGATAAAATGAAATATCAATTGTTTAGTGTCGTCTCTTCAAGATTGCGCTTATTGGCAAGGAAAAGCATGTCTTAGCGCTCAACGTGTTTTGAGCCTCGCTTTAGGGCTTAAGCACGCTTTAAGCGCGCCTTTGACAATACTAAATATTACATATAAAAGATAAGAACATTATTCGAATTTAAAATCTCAAAAGATATGCATATTTCACTAGTTAAATATTGAACAAAGCTAATACATTATTAATAAATTCATAACTAAATGTATAAAGATTTAAACTATAAGGCAAACATTTTAAAGCTACCTAGAAAAATAAATTCATTCAAGATTGATGGAAGAACTTTGTAATTGTAGCTTGTTTCGTAGATTTCATTCTCTTAGTAGCAATATAACGCTTGAATTGGCGAAAATTCGTGTACAAATTTTCAGCAAAAAGGTATCTAATAGCTTTCCTTTGAAGACAATCTAAGAGCTTAACAATTAAATTTTTTATCTAAATATTTTTTGGAATTTGTCCAATGGAAAATATATCATGTGCAAATATTCAAATCTTATATCTTATGCAAGATAGAAACTTTGTTTAATGGAAAAGATTGTGTGAATATTTTTAGAATTATTATTAGTAATCTTAAAGATTCTATATGGCTGTTATATAGGGGTAATTTTACAAAGAGCGTTCTGCTATAAATATGGCTGTTGTTGTTATAGGTAAAAAGCTGTTATAGAGAGGTAAAATATAACTTAAAAAATCGATTTTGAGGAAAACTTGATTTTTATAGTGAATGGTTGTTATATAGGGATGGTGTTTTAAAGAGGTCTGACTCTATTTGCAAGCAAGATTTAATCTTATTTGAACTTGGATTATAGTTTAGATTTTATATTTTTGGTCATGTATTTATATACTTTTAAGTATTGTGTTTTTTAAGTTTTACCCGTGACTTGGATTAAAAAATATATTTAAGAGATTTGATGTTATTAATTCTCATTCTCTATGATATTTATTCTTTTTCTGTGATTCGAGTATTTGATTATGTTAAATTTTTTACATGACACCGAATAACCAAACCGAAAAACAGACAACAACATACCCAATATTATCCCACATCGTGGGGTCTGGGAGGGTAGTGTGTACGCAGACCTTACCCCTACCTTGTGAGGATAGAGAGGTTGTTTCCAATAGACCCTCGGCTCAGGAAAACATAAGCACCACATTAATGAAAAATATAGACAAGAAGGGACAGTACCAAAAAGCCATAGAAAAGCAGAATAAAAACAAAAAGATAGTAAGGTGATCAACAATGAAGGAAACAACGGTTAGTCATAATAACCTACTACCAACAGAAAGCGAGACTGCGTGCCAATACTACTGTTATGAACACTCTAGACTACCTACTCTACTACCTTAATCCTCGACCTCCATACCTTCCTATCAAAGGTCATGTCTTTGGTCAGCTTATTTTGACAGAAAAGAGAAAAATCAAACCAAACAAGACTTATTTTGGTTCAATTTGGATTACACTTTTTCAAAACTAAAAACCAAAAAAAAAAAGAAACCGAAAAGTGCAAAACCAAACCAAAAAACCGAATGCAACACCTAGGCCACAATATCCCCGTCATTCCCACCCAGTGCAGGGGCATTTACTAGTAGTCATGCCTGTTCTGAAACCTGCGTTGAAATTCCTTAAAGAGAAACAATCACCTTTTATGGTCGGCGTATATCCATATTATGCATAGAGGGATTCTTCGAGCAATGGTGTCGCTAGACTATGCTATATCTAAGGCATCCTCCTAAGTGATTGATCCAAGCACTAGGCTACTCTACACAAACATGTTTTCTGCCCAGCTTGATGCTATTAACTATTCTTTAATAGTGCTAAATATCACTGAGACAAGTTGGTCATCTAAAGGATCTCTAAAAGAGAAAGCTGCAAGCTTGCAACTAAGGGATAATGCACATACTTGCAATACAAATTTGATACATATTATCAACAATACTGGAAATTCCGCCAGAACAT